GACGCAGGGCAACATGAGATTATGTAAGTAAGCTAAAGGCATAGGCGAGGCTTTGCGTGATCACCTGGGTGCTCGATATCTGCGCCCACGCTCGCCTTTGTCAAGGTAATTGAACCAGGCAGCTGATGATACACTCTTAATTGCATGTTTGACATTATATGAGACTTGAAGGGAATCCTTGGCGATGCTAGAGTGAATATGATAATGGCTCGGAGGAAGAGGAAAGAGTGACGTTAGATTAAAGATGGAGGAGTGGAGGAGGTACATGCACAGGGAAGGGAAAGAGGGCGCAGAAGGCTAATGCATGTATGTGTGAGAGTGAGTTTTCATCAGAATTTCTACTGGAACCTGCACATTTGTGTAATTTATTTGTATGATGGTAGGGCTGTGTGATATGACTAAAATCTCAAATCCCGATGTAAGTCATTTCATATCCCAATAATGATGCATATCCCAACAGACTTCGCTCTTGGATTTGTGCTCCTCGTTTTTACTTGCATGGTCTAACTCCTCCTGAGTAAACTTCTCTGTCCTCATTGTTTGTTTAATCTGAACTAGGGCTGGAAAATTAATAAAAAAAACAACATAACGTAACGTAATTTCCTCATGTCTGTAATTTCTGTTATTTAATCCTGTTAAAATTGTGTGTGTTCATGCCACTTTCCCCTTGAAACATCCTACCGCGTGTGTCATCACGTGACTCCGCCTCCTCCAGTCCTGCGTAGGCTTCAAACTGGAGTCTGAAGCACAGGGAGATGTTAGCTTGTGCTAACCGCCTTCACTTTCCAGCAGTTGTGGAAACAACGGACAGACTTTTATTAACGGTCACACTGTGACCTACACTGTACATTTACTTCCAGACTAACAACTTATTACTCGCTTTCAGCGTCACTTTCTGCTGCTCGCTCTCTCTCATTCGCTCGTCCACTCACTTGCTATGCACACACATTGCACTGCAGTTAAAAGTAGGGCTGGGTGTGTGTGTATATATATATATATATATATATATATATATAATTTTCCTAAATAACAATATAACAAATGTTCAATATATTGTCAGTAAAACGTTTGATTTCATTCGTTTGAATCATGAACAAATTAGCACTTAATTTTTCTATTAAGATATTTATTGTTTTGAGGAAAAGGGACTGAAAAAGATTTTACTTAATTTTAATTATAATAAAAATATAATATAAATTGTTTCAAATGTTCTTCCTCAGATTTGGCAAGTTTTTGTCATGTTTTGATCTTAAAGAACAGTTTAAAACCACAATTAATGATGTGGTTTCTTCAAAAAGCAAATTGAAAGTAATAATGATTTGACATTTATCGTGATAATTATTGATATCGAATGGTATGAACTTTTTTATCGTGATAAAATCTTTGGCCATACCGCCCAGCCCTAGTTAAAAGACCTAACTTCGCTGCTCTGATAACAGCACCTGTCCTTTGATGAATGAGGAGAGGAAGCTAGCAAAGCGTGATTTACCGTGCTCACACAGTGTGCGGGTGAAAATCATTTGTTCCGCATTGATATTAAATAATTGAGTGAAAGTTTAATAGGAGCGGCCATAATTCAGCAGTGGTGAATATCTGGGAACCATGTTTCTTTAATGTGCACGTCAACATTACGTTATTAATTAACATGTAGATCATGGACTTGTGAAATCTGTGAATAAATAAACACAACTTTAATAGTAGAGCATATTTACAATATAAACCATGTCAGTGAAATATGAGGGCAAAAAAGTCAACAACAAAAAACAACATAAAAAAAAAAGTGAAATGTTCAATTAATCGTGATTTTGATTTTAGGTGAAATCCTTCAGCCCGATTCTGAATGCAACTGTTTTCCCTGCAACACCGGCACGTGTGGAAGAGTGGACTGCCGTGAAGGTGGTTTTAAGTTGGATGTTAGTTTTACGTTGATAATTGACATATGTCTATCCGTAAAACTGACTTCACCGCTGTGCAACGCGCTGTCCCCTCACGGACATATGGTAAAGTGTGGAATTTGCGAAATACAACAAAATAAACAATGGAGTACGATTGTAAACGATCTGCATTTTTCTATCATCAAACAATATATTGTCATATCGCACAGCCCTATATGGTGGTGTTTTGTTTTCTTCTCAGTGTACTGTGTATACACTAATATGGAGCAGAAACAGCAGCCATTAGAGGAGATGGTTCCAGCTTAGCTCCTCATTTCCTTTTGTCATGCTCTTTCACATCTCATAAACACACGTATATGTGAACCCTCACGCAGACATTAGCCAGTCATCCAACACTGGCACCATCTAAATATCACATTTAAATGCATGTTGCTGAGGGCACACTCGCTCACAGAGGCACAGAGGATGCCGTACAGAGGAGGCGTGACACCCCCTGGGTGTAGACACACACAGAGACACACACTCACACACAAATTGCAAAATAGCAGTCACATAGAAACCTCATCACAGACCTTAAAATAGAAGAAACAAATATGCGTGCACACACACACAGAGTGGAAAGATTTGTTACACTCACCTTAACACAAGCTGTTTCACAAACTGGGAAGTACAATACATACTGATGTCCTACACATAAGCATGAAGCCACCAAGTAAATGCAGCACATTTGAAATTTTTTACAAATGCATGCATTCAGTGGCGCTAGCATATACACAGTAATTGCCATGTTGCTGTTGCAAAATATGTTTTCTATCAATTAAAGTCAGACACGCCGAGTTGCCATATGAATATTTATGAGTTGTTTCCAGGGCGATGTTGCGTAACTCAGAAGCTGTTTATTTTAGTCTCTGTTGGCCCCACATTCAGTGTCATGATAGAATTTTAAAATGGATGCACATTGTGTTGTGTAAAGGATAATTAGTATAAAACGTGTGTCCCTTTCCTGTTTGTCATGCACGTCGGCTTTGTTTTGCAGTCTCAGTTCTTTGTCTCGTCGATTTCTTTCACAATTTTATTTCTTCGTTATTCTACAACAAAATTCTGTTCCAATTTTTACTCTTGCTCACACACTTGGCCTTGGTTTACCCTGTCTCTGCTTCACTGCATGCTGGGAAAGGCCACAGCCCCAATTGAACCCGGACAGGATACACGGTTATAGAAGTCTTTTCCAGGTTTCTACCTCTTGTAGCCTATTCTGTGTCCTACATAATCTTCTCTCCTCCTTTTATACATATTTATCTCTATTTTTAGCTCTTTACTCCATTCCTCTCCCTGCTTTTCTTGCAACATAACTCCTTGTCTTTTCACATTATTATATTTAAAATTGTACACGTGCGCACATGTAAAACACTTGAGCCGAGGGGAAAATGTATAAATGCTGACCTTAAATTGCCACTGTACAGGGGAAAAACAAGTTAAAAACAAGAATATACGCAGGATGATAAAACGTGTGTAGGAGTTAATAGATAAATAACACTTAATTGTGCAAATAAACTATAGTAAAGGAGAAAATTCATCACTGAAACACATGCACACTCACACAAACACTGCCTTTTCATTTTTTCAGCGCTGTGGAGCTCTGTGGAGGCTTGCAGCTGAGTCCACACGGATCACAGCAGGTCGTCAGTTCCTCCCACATTTCCTGCCTTTATCGCACTGAAGGTCATTAATAATTCTCACATGTTTGCACTCAGGTGGTACACATTTATTTCTCATATTTATTGTGTACTCGGCAAATCCCATCTAACACATTTAAACACTTAAGTTGTGAGGCGAGCGTGGCACTATCCGTCACACGTGGACATATTGATCCTGGATTTTTCAAAAGGGTTGAACATTAGGGGTCGACTCAAGTGTCGATGGAAATTCATCTTCTGTTTGTCCTCTTTATTTCCCTCTTCCGTAGTCCTTTCACATCATGTTGACAATTGGTAATTTACTATGTAGCCTTTTGCAAGAACTCAAATAGGATAAACCTAGCAAAAATACAAAAGTATACAATTATATAATGCCAAATGTAACGCAGCTTCACCTTTAAACAAATAAAAGCTATGTTTAAATTCACGTCCTCCCTCCCACATTGTACCCATTTCCTGAACATGATGAATACAAATGATATGACCTACACATGTAATGATAATAAGTTAATGGTACAGTTGCCCGGCTGAAACACAAAAGTTTGCGATCTATCCCTGTGTCCTCATGTAACAGAGATAGGGTGATGCGTCTCAAAATGCTGCCCCTAAATTAAGCTGCTTATCAATCTGGAGCACAGCTGACATTGTGTATTATCTAGCTGTGATTGCAATTGTCTAAGTCCACATAAGAGCCAAGCCAGATTCAAAGAGGAATTTTTTTGACTTCCCTCAGCAGAAGAACAGTACAGTGTCATCATCCTCCTGTCACCTTTGCTTCAGCGTGCGGCTGTGTTTGTTTTTTATTACTGACCCACATCCTCTTGGGGTAGAGTTGTGTCAACACCCTGTGAAACCAAAGATGATGTTTCTCATTCTGGCACTGCTTGCCTCCTCATTGGGTTCCTCTACACCTGCTTCCTGGAGCTGATGTAACTGCAGAGTAGTGGGGCTTTGGGGTTGGTTTCCCATTAGAGACCGATGGATTTGTCTTTCCCATAATGATCCGAATTAGAGGTCGGGGAGTTTTAGCCTGGTTTCCTGGCGACCACGTCTACCAACATCATAATAATTAAGTAAGGCCGTATCAAGCTTTAGGGGAAAATGGGCAGAGGTGCTATTTCACATAGCAACACATGTAACTTCTCTGTGTTTTCATCTCCCACACTGTCAATCACACATCGATTTCACAGATGGTCAGTGTTTGTTCTCAAAGCTCATCTTAAATTGGTTTCTAAAAGAAACCCCTCTGCACATCTTTTTTCCCCAAATGTGTCAGATGTTTTTGTGTCAGGCTTAATTAAAATAACTCCTTGTATAATCAGACAAGCAGCCACCTTGTGAAAGCTAATGGGGGATCCAAACAAAGAATAAAGAATAAAAAGAGCTGCCTTTTTCCTGCTTCCTACAGGGAGGAGGAGGAGAGCCTGCGGGACAAGATTCGGGCAGACCATGAGCGAGCGCTGCAGGAGGCAAAGGAGAAGCTGAGAAAGTCACGTGAGGAGCTGCAGGCTGAGATTCAGACAGAGAAGAATAAAGTCATGGAGGACCTGAAAAAGAAGGATGCAGGGCCTAAACCCTTGCCACCAGTCCCCATGCCCAAAGTGGTTGGTGTCAGTGATGGTGAGCCACCAGAGCCTGACGTAAAAGAGAAACGCGACAAGATCAGAGAGGTAAGATGATCTTTTACATGTGATTTGATTAAATTTGTACTAGGAAGATCCTCTGTGGTGTCCTTTTTGGATCATGTACATAGGAGCCAACCTGTGGATTGATGCAGGTTATTTCACTGCTTCTTACTGATGGGGTCAGCTACACACTTAAGGTACTAGTACAGCAAGAGCAATCAAACAAACACTGCAGAAAGTGCATATATTGATATTCGGAACTAGCTACATCTTTTTTTCAGTGTTGAGTCCCTCATTTTACCAAATAATAAGTATCTCTTCCTTTGGAGAACTCACATGAACTGAAGACCCTTTATAAACTCCCACTCAACTAGTTTTGCGTTGTTATTTACATATCTCTATGTTGAGCAAAATGTGGGAAATGGATGAGAATGAATCAGAATTAATGGCTTTTATTAGAGAAAGTGCTGCTGATACTGGATCTCACGAGAAAAGCTTGATATTTTGTACATTCAGTGTATTTACTCCAACATGTGACACATGGGCCGCACAGGATTTGGGGCATTAGTCCACTGTGATAGTTTGGCAAACGTCTCTAAATCAGTGCCATCAGCTCCCCATTGACATTGAATCCTGTGAAGACCATTTTGCAGTAGACCGTGGGTGAAAACCTGTATCCACAGGAGTGGTGTTTGGTGAAATTTAAATTCCAGCATGTGTGAGAGGCCCAGTTTGTGCTTGGCTATACTGTATGTCTGAATAAATTTCTGTAGCCTAATGTCTGTCTCAGCGCCAGCTTTTATTGAAGGCAATAGCAAGCCAGACGGACAGTGCCTGTGCAGAATGCAGATGGTGCTATCTGGTCCCGCTCTCCATAGACACTAAGCCAACCCCTGCCTATCTCCCTTTCTCTGCTCCCCTCATTCTCTTTCCCCCCCCTGCAAGAACTCCTGCATAATTACCTTATATCGTTTCTCTTGAAACAGCACTTGGAGTCAGAACACTTGCCGCGCATGGGAGCTGGCCCATTCCCTCCAAACCCACCTTTGTGTCTAAATGCCCCTTTTGTTCCCTTCATAATTACCATTCAGAGAGAATGCCATACACTCTCAAACGAGCAAGAAGCTGTATGGGCTACAGCGCAGCACACTCCCCTTTTCCTGATTGCTTAGTGATTCCAAGGAGAAATCATCACTGCACACTGCCATACAATGGTGACTAAAATACTGGAGCTTGTGTTTTTGTTCTTTTTTCTTTTAAATCCTGGCTACAGGCAGCCATTTGGCCTGAGTTTTGATGTTGTAAAGTAAAGTCCAGAGAGGAGTATCAGCATCCATCTTCTTGTCATCGTTTATGTTTATGTGGACGGTAAATCAGGCATCGGTAGTTGCTGAGCCCCACCCTGTTACAAAATTACTTTCCATGGGATTATGCCATCTGTCTGTCTGTAAGTCTGTCACTGTCTTTCCTTTTTAGGGTTAGTTTGCTTTGGTTCAAAATGTGGTCCCGTGCTCAGACTGTGAAGGATCAATGATTGCAATGTCTGCTTCCGGATGTAATGAGGTAGACTGGGGTTAAATGATCAATTTTGATTATTTTTCTAGCTGTGAGGGCAGTTTTGTAGCTGTGTGGTGGCAATTATATTAAATAACTGCAACAAATACAGTAGCAACACCTTTTAACAAAAAGATGAAACAAATAATTAGATGTTAAAATAATGACACTAATTGCTGTCTTAAAAATTTGGCGACCCATTATAACATTTTGCAGAGAAACACAGAGAGAGCTGTTAACTATTACGTTGCAAGACACGGAGACGGTGGATATTTTACAAGCACAGACCAGGTAAAGCGACAGTGAACATACCAGTGCAGATGTCATTCGTTAGCTACCACACTGGTTTCATTTTCATAGGCTGTGTCATTAACAAGCCTCCTCCTCATGCAGTGCACCTGCTGCTGAAAACGGAATTGCAGGTGGAAATATCTGTGTTTTTTCAGCGACTTCATAAAACGGAGTCTGCTGCTGATGGGGAAAGTCACATACGCGGAGAAAGCCGCTGATTTTATAACTGCTTAGATTGTTAATGCCAATATTAATGTTTAAACGTATGATCATTATGTCGGTATGAACATGCTACACTTCGTTAGAACGGTTAGATTCTCCACAATTCAATAGTCGAATGAAGATGAAGTTAATACTTCATTAAACGGAAACAACAAGCACCAAAGTCTAATTCTTAAGTCCAAATGTGTCTGTTCCTTGATTATTTATATTCCTTTAGTGTGTAAGGGTCCACCCATCAAAAGAATCAAAACATCTTTTCATAAAAATGAATCCAAGTTGTGAATCCTGTCTTGTGAAGTCCATTGCTCTCTGTCTGCTAACTTTTGCCACACTTCTCTAATCCTGCACTGTGTTGTTTTTGTTACGATGCTGCATTCAAAATAAATGCACATAAGCTGTTTGTCAGCGCTAGATCAAATGAATGACGTGTATTTGATATTATTGGAAGTAATATTCTGTTTAAAATAAACTGTTTTATAGTAGCCTATTTCAGTTTTGTGGAAGAGGAATGAAAGGGCTATCCCATATGGATACCTGTCCCAAATAAAGGCAGGGTCAATTCAGTAATTTAAAAAAATAAAAGCCCAGGCTATTAATCAAAGTTTCATGGTAAGCTGCTATAAATAGAAAATATACCACGCACCCCCTTCCGACGACCACCATCACTACCATCTGGACTAAGTTGTGTGTCATTCTGTGGGAAGTTGAAGGGAAAAATGGGTTTTTCTTTGTCAGTGTGTTCAAAATATGTATTTTATGGAGGGAAGGGAAACTGACTAGAATTAAATTTGGTGCTAAAATATGGACAGATGTTGGATCAATTATACTGAATTTTTCGTGCAATATTTTAAATATTTCACAATTTGAGTCTCAGAAGCTGATGTGATGCCGCTTTTTCTTCGACATTTTACCCAGCTCTTCTTTGCTCTTTTCATCTGCACTGGGATTTGTAAATGAAATACTGCTTGTTGCTGGTTATGTTAACGGTAGAGACTACATTTCTGAGCTTCTTTAGTCCAGCCGAGGGTGTGAAAATCAAGGAAATCGGTCAGGTCCAGCAGAGTGCTTTTGCTGCTCTGTGCTTCAGTCATGCCACTCAGGCCCTTTGTTCCTCCAGAAATAGAAATGAACCAAATTTTTATGCCTTCCAAATACATATTTCATTGACTGTACAGAGCACAATAAACCTCCTTTTCCACCACCTCCATTAGCTCCGAGCTCTGTGCTCTTTTGCTAATTATGCGACCCGGACATTGGTGGCCATTAAACCTTTGTCTGGAGATCGAGAGAGCTTTAGGGCAATAAAAGAAAAGGAATGGAACGAATTTGACCATTAACTGTCCCAATACTATTCACCTGTCACATCATGAGGTATTGTTGGCCCTGAGCTGTTGAAATAAGCTGGCTGTTGCAGTTAATGGGCCGTGGTACAAAGGCACAGTTCGCTTTCTGTAAGGTTTGATCATCAATAATATTAAAAAAACACTAGTTTAGACAATTTGTAGACTGCACAAAGTTTAATCTAATACTAAAAGGTTTGCCTCCATGTTTTCATTACTTCAAGGAAGTATTCTTTACATAACATAGTTCTATATGTTCTAGCTATATCTATGAACTGTGTTCCTGTTTTAGGATAACTGCATAATCTCTTGAAATTAAACAGTGGGTGCACCTAACGATGATTTTAGTATTCGAAGCTTCTATAGATTATTTCAACAATTCATCGATACGTCGGTTAACACACAGCTGTGCACGTTTATAGGTGATAGATATTTATTAGTCCTTTTGGAAATTCATAACGTGTCATACAGCAAACATCAGACCAACAACCAGACATCTGCTTTACAAACACAAACATCACCCGAGTACAAGTTATACTAAATACACATGCAGACTACACGACTTTCAGCGTCGGCCGATGGCACACAACTTGCCGTCAGATGAAATAGAAATATAATGTAAATTCAAAATGATGGACCTACAATAATGTCCTATGGCTGATGGCTAACCTGATTTGCTATGTACATTGTTGCTGTGTGATTGCAATGATAGTGAAATTGAAGCAAACCTTGCTTATCGTGCATCTTATATGGACTTTCATACCAGTCAAGAGCCGTTGATTTTAATACCCACAGAAACAAACGCTTGTAGTTTTTTCATTACTACAGCGCAGATACTGCAATGCCAATCTGTTTTGCCTGTTCAGGCTCCACAGTTTCAACATGTACTGTGGGGGGAAAAAAACTGCTAAAAGGTGATCCTGTACTGAACAACAACAAAGAAATAACCAACTTATGCGTGTGTAGAATGGTGGCTACTTCAGAACACAGCAGTCTGGTGAGAGCACAGTATGGAGATTACGTGCTCAGTGCAACACACAGAGCTACAGCTTCATTAGACTAGGGCTGTACATAACAATTATTTTTCAAGTCATTTAATCTAACGATTATTTTTTATTAATCTGACTAATTTTGTGTATTCTAAAGAAAAAAAGTTGCCTATTACTCGGTTAACATACCAATTTATCCAAAATAAATATCAAAAACATGTCTAATCAATAATATTTTATTCAATCATCCTGATGAAGCACATATCTTAAAATGAATCAAATGTCCTCGTCACTGATGTATTGAGATAATAACAATATCAGACATTAATTAGGCTACTTTACTTAAAACTTTAAATGTTTCTCCCATGGATTTATTACAATATTAAGTAATGCAGTATGATAATCAAATGTATTTCTGCATCAGTGTGGGGCAAAGAAAGCAACTGAAATGATTCACAGACTGTGCAGATGGTCACAGATTGTCTGTAATGTTACTTTCAGCTGTTTTCTCGCCCATTCGTGGCCATTAAATAAACAGAAAATATGAAACAGCTCAACGTTAGATGACACGCGCCCTGTATGTGCAGTTGTGCTGAAGACATTTCCAATTCACAAAGCTCATGGAGCAGCACGTTTTTGAGTGTTTATC